AACTAAAATGATTATTGCCAAAGATAAAAAGATTAAAAAGACTTGAAAGAAGACTAAGGACTAAAAAGGCATTGATAAGATTGAAAAAGGCTTGATTCTTGCCTCCATATATGTTCTTTAACAAGAAGCTATATGGCGATGTTCTATATGACCTCCAAAATGTATTGACTTTGCAAAATATGTATTTTAATTTGCAAGGCAAGTTTTCTATATGTACACCACATAGTTAGCTTGTTTTGCAAGCTACTACATATGGTTAACTTGTTGACCAAGTATCCAACCTATCAATCCACTACAAACACATGTAAAGTCAAAAAAACATCTATGAAGTTACTAAGAAGCTTTTATAGAAAATATTATAAAATAAATTTATTTTTATCTACTTTTACTTAATCATATAGGTAAATATTAGAGTATATATATATATATATATATATATATATATATATATATATGTTTTTCATACTTGAATTTGATTGTAAATTTGATCTACTTACTTCTCTCAATTACACAACTTCTTAGCATAGTCTTTAAACTTGATTATTGATTTCTTCTATAGGCATAGAAATAATACCTCTATGATTCATATTAGAAATACATGAGATCTTCATTCTAAAAGTATTGACAAGATCATAAAGATTTGTAATAGTTACAAATCTATTTTTATTTTTGTTAAGAATAACATCTATAATTTTTCTTTTTATAGAAAATTTAAATAAATTCACAAGTAAAATTAGACAAAAATAATCTATAACTTCTAATATCAAATGAATTTTTTTGCAAAGTAGAGTAGTCTACTTTTTTTAAGAAAAAAATTAGTATTAAAAAATTAATAATTGGTTTAAAAGTGAATAATCTACAATCTTCAAAATATAATAATAAAAGTAAAATAATCCACTCACTTTTAAGAACAAAACAAGAACTATGAGTTAGCACTCTTGTCAAATTGTCAAGGATATGAATTTAAAAGACTAAAAGTTCAATACACTCTTATGTCATTCAAAAAGACTAAAAAATCATTCAAAGATGGTATAATATTATACTAGAATGGTTATTGCTAAAAATGAGAAGACTAAAAAGTCGTCAAATAAGACTAAGGATAAAAAATATATTGAAAAGAGTATTTTGTAAAGAAGGCTTCATTCTTGCTTCCATATATACTATCTAACAACGTTCTATATAACCTCTAACAAGTGACTAATTTATAAGACACATATCTTAACTTGTAAGGTAAGTTTCATATATGTACACTACATTGTTAGCTTCTACCATAAGCTATCCACATGTGCGAGACATGGCTAACTTGTAGGCCAAGTTTTTAACTTGCCAATTAACTATAAATATGTATAAAATCAAATATACAACTATGAAGCTTTTAAGAAGCTTTGTCATGAGATAATATTAAATCTACCTATATTTATATTCTACTAGATACTTATTATTTAAATAAATATATATGTCTATGATATCACCTTGTGTATTTTAGAAATAAAATATAAAAATTTAAAATATAAAATTTATATCTTTTAATAGGCTTGCTATAAATACATTCTAAGTTGCTACATATACAATAAGATTGAGATGTGTTATATGTATCTCTTTACAAAGGAATGAAGAACAAGGCCAATATTGTAGTTATTGTTGCTATTAATTTGATCATTGAATAATCCAACTCTATACTACTCGTCTCTTTGAAGGTGATCATTTAGATGATAATAACAAAGGTAGCTTTCACTTTTGGCAATGTACATGCTTTCACTACTAATACTTATCTATACTTATTATATTAAAAAAAGATATGAAATTAGATAGTTTGTTTTTGATTTGTGATGCCGTATAGTGATTTAATGAGAAAATAGAAAGATAGAAAAAAAAATAAAAAAAAATCAACTTAGTATTGCAATTTATATTGTAATTGCATAAACAAACCTTTAGGCTTATACAAAAAATATTCACAAATTATACAATATTCTTTATAAGATGGTATTTACTACTTTTTTGTATATTTTTTTTAAAAAAAATGATACAAATTAGAATCCTAACTAGATAATAAAATCTAAAATTTGAAGAAATTTGACTTATATATTATCATCTTTCAACTATAATTTCAATTAGAATAATATGTACATATATAAAAATAATTTAATATTCATTTCTTAAAAGCTCTACTTCAAGAAGAACTTCAAATACTTCCAAAAATTACATATCAACCTACTATTAATGCATTTATTTGTGTTGAAATTGTGAAACACAACACTTACTCTTTTAAAGAGTCAATGGAGAATTCTTGCTCTTTGATTTGATGTTAAGGTTTTAGAAAGGTTATGAAGACTTGAAAGAAGAGGTATATGAAGTACCTTGATAGTGCAAATACATGTAACTACATCAAGAGTCGATGCTACTGATAACTAATGATATTTGAAAATTAGCAAAAGAACCATCAAGAAAAAGTATAAATTTTGAACTTTCTTTTGGGGGCTTTACCTATGGAGGTTCTTGCAAAGAGTAGCCCTTCTTATCCTTACTTATTGACTAATTAACAAGAATACTAGAGAAGGGGTTATTGCTCTCTTTAATCCTTTCATAGGAGTCTTAGGTGGCAAGGTTTATATAACAACATCTAGCCAATCAAAAGCAGTTTTTTTTGGATGTATATATAGCAATATGAGTTGTATATATAATAAATTAGGATGTACTTATAGCTTAATCCCTTTTAATATCATCTAATATAAAATTTAAAGAAAATAATGACTTATAGATAAAAATAAAAATAAATACTGTCAAATATTATCGTTAACTAAATGCTAATAATTAATATTAAAAATATATAATAAAAAATATTAAAATAGAAAATATAAAAAATAAACAAAAAAATTAACATGATTTTTTAATTTTTAGTTTATAATGAAATTAAAATTATTTAAAAAAAAAAACACATATAATCTCACTATAAAAGTATTTAAAAAAAACTAAAATAAATTTGTTATATAAAAAATTGACTAATAAATATTAAAATATAATTCAATAAAACTTACAATCTAAACTATTTTTTTTAAATGTTATAAAAGATGGTAATTTATAGTATTAAAACATATATATCTATTTATACATCCATAAAAATTATTAATTGATTGAGGTTGTTAGTACTATGATAGCACATATGCTACAAATAACAATTCTAAAATACTAAAGTAAGTTTTTAAAGTTTTAAAATTATCTTCTTTATTTATTTATTTTCTTTAGAGATAAGTAAAAAATATATATATATTTAAATAAATTTTTAATATACATATACACTGTAGTAGCTTCCATAATTTTATAGATGAAGTTCTTTTTAATTATTGCATCTTAAATGTATATTGTATATGAATTTGGATTTTTCCAAAGATTTTTTTAAAAAAATTAACTCATATAAAAGTAACAATAAATCGATTTATTAATATGTGTTCATTCATTAATTTAAATTATTGAGAAGAATTTAATTATTATATAAACTTCATTTTCAACCAAAAAACTATTAGACAACTTGTACAAATTGCAATAATTTTTGATAACTTTTTTAGAATAAATTTTCTTTACAAAAAAATCTCTATTTTATACAAATATCAGTGCTTTAAGGTTATTACGACAATTATACAATCATTTAGCTTGAAAAATAGATTTTCTCTAATATCTATATATATATATATTTAATACATCAATATATTTTAAATATTTTATAATAGTTTTTAAAAAATATAAATTTTAATGTAGTTGATACTTTAAAAAATCCATAATTAATTCTTTTTTCAAAATATTGTATAATAGTAGGAGTAATCAATAAAAAATTAAAAACTTAAAAATCTTTTAGATGTACATTAATTTTTTAAAATAAAAATAATTATTGAATTTCTTAAGAAAATTAAAACAACATAATAGTACTTAAAGCTCTTGTTAATAGTTTTTTTAATTACATATATTTTAAATTTATTTTAAAAGTTCTTTTTGTCCAAATAGATTGTTGTAGCTAAATTAATTACATCCTAAAATATCACAATAGAATATTTTTCTTTAAATTGAATTATAATATGTATAATTTCATATTTACTGTATATATTTATTTCTTTATTTTTATATATGCATATGAGAGAATATTAAATCAATCCATTTAAAACTTATATTGACCCTCATGTCTCCACTTTGCTCCAATCCTTTAATGTCTAAACTTTGTACACCATTGATCTCTCAATATTGCACTTTGTGATGTGCTGATTTCACAAGGGGGTTAAAGAAGTAGAGAATGAATTTCTTGGAAACAGTTGTAATGGAATAGCTTCAAATAGTAAGGAATTTGAGTGTGAGAGGTGAGCTAAGTAGGTAGAAACAAGCAGCAAGAAGACTATTTTACATTAAAGGGATATTGAAAAAGCTTTAGAGGTGAATTGTGAAGAAGAGTTGACAAGGGAGATATGACCAGAGAAAATTCTAAATATGCCAATTAATGAAACTGATTAAAAATTACTTGTATTTTATGAACAGAGGGACAATTTTAGAGTTAGATAGATCAATTTAATATTCCCTTGTTATATATTTCAGCACTTTTAATAAACATCAAATTCAATACACATTGTTTGACACATAGGGCTTCCAATTTTATCATGCACAAGTTTTATGCTACAATTCACAATTCGGTTTAGTCGCTCTTATATGGCGTTAAACCTTCCTTTACATATCCCAGAACATTTATTGTGTCAAATTATAGAAGTCAATTGTCACTTTGAAAGAAGTGTACAAGTAATATCAGAATATGTAGTCTACATGTATCAAACATGACTTTTAACCCTCACTTTTCCCTCACGAATATCATGGCTTCAAGAACCTGCTCACATAAAATCTTCAAACATCAAATACAAGGAACAGATTTTTTCATTCAGTAATTTATTTCTTAAGTTGAATCATTCTCAATCAGCCTCCCTTTCTCTCAAAATTTAAAATTACATCAAAACAGATGCTACTATCTGTGCAGGTGATGGTTGGGCCCAACCATATCTGATTATATTTTAGGAAAAAAAACACATTGCATTGGGGATCATTGATTAAAATATATTAATTTTTGAGTATATCTCAATTTCTCATTTCACACTGAGAAACCATCAGGCAATTACTACTACAGCCGAGCTTCATGCAAAGTGTGTGTAGATTCAAAAAGGTGCTGTCGGTGTGACACAACAAGTAGGGAAGTTGCCACTTCGACCAACTTCGATTTTGAAGTTTTCCTCACATCAATCTGCTTCTCTTTTTTGAAGGTTTTTCTTTTTTTCTTTTTTTCCTCCATTCACTGAGTTCTTTTCTTTCCTCTCAGGTTCCGTCTATCAGTGTATGTCAACAATCGCAACGTTCCTCATCGATCCTGTGCTGCTGCCCTCAAATCGGTAATGTGAAGCGATGTTGGAATCAGGTGATGAGCGAGGAAGGATCCAGAGCAGTCACAGCACTGTTCTTTGACAAAATCGCTGCGTCAAATTGGAAGCACCTGGACAGAAGGACTTCAAGCCAAAAGAAGAAGAAAAAAAGCGAGGGGGGAGGACTCTACAATTGCGGTGATTTTCGTTGCTGGAGGACCCAAGTTGCCATTCCTGCAGTCAGCCGACGAAATCTCACCTGAATTCCATATCTAGATTTGAGCCCCGAAAGCTTCAGATGGAGGGACCGTTACTGCTCACCGGGCAACATAGTGTCACCGTCGGGAAGCTCACAGACACCATTCGGGGCGCCGATGAGATGCGAAACACACTTCTTCTCCGCAATCAGCTCATCCTCGCTCTTCCTGATGCGGTCGCGTAAGTAGTCGTCCACATAGCAGTCGGTGACCAGTTCCCAGTTTCCGTCCCCAGTGGAGCGGCACGGCATGCTGAAGATAAGATCCTCAGCGATGCCGTAAGGGTTGCCGTTCGTGTACACGCCGGATGAGAACCAGTCCCCCTCTGGAGTCGGGGTGACGAGCGACTTGATGGCGTCTGCTATCGACACGGCCGTGGAGGCGGCGGAGGATCGGCCCCATTTCTGGATAAGCGCCCCACCTCGCGTCTGCACTCGCGGAGTGAACTCTTCTTTGAGCCAATTCTCGTCCTGGATCACGTCCACCGCGCTCGCTCCCAGTATTCTAGCGTTCAGGAAGTCGGGGACTTGGGTGGTAGAGTGATTGCCCCAGATGGTCACGTTGGAAACGTGGTCGTAGAAAACACCAGCCTTGAGAGCTAACTGGCACTTGGCTCGGTTCTCGTCCAACCTGGTGAGGGCGTGGAAATTCCGAGGGTTGAGACGGGGCGCGTTCTTCAGCGCAATGAGCGCATTCGTGTTGCACGGGTTACCCACCACCAGAACCTTCACGTCTGGACTCGCCACTTTGTTCAAAGCCTTCCCTTGCTCCGCGAAGATTTGCCCATTGATGTCGAGCAAATCTGCTCGCTCCATGCCTGGGCCCCGAGGTTTGGCGCCAATGAGTAGCGCCCAATCTGCGTCGACGAAGACTTCCTCGGCTTCAATTCCAATGTTCACTTCCCTCAACAAAGGAAACAGAGAATCCTCCAACTCCATAGCCACTCCCTCCAGAGCTCCCCTAGACCTCTCCGACCCCAGGAGGTTCAGCGCAATGGGCTGGTCTTGGCCGAATACTTCCCCAGAGGCAAGCTTGAACAGCAAGTGGTTGGAAATCATGCCGGCGGCTCCCGATACGGCGACGCGCACCATCTTCTTCCATGTCTTGGGTCTCTCGCTCTCATTCAAATCATAGGTTACGCAGAACACGCCGAAGCATTGCCCGTCCTTCTGACTCTCTGCAACGCTATTCGCAGTCTTCGCGGGCTCATTCACAGGTTTCTTGGCCGTGGCAGGAGCAGAGTAAGCGATCACACCTCGTCTGCTCTGCAAATGCTGGGGCGTCTCCACAAATTTCACGGGAATACTAGTCACCAACCTACGACCACGAAACGAACTAGATAACACGTTTCCAACTGCCTTACTCTCAACCTTCGGAAACCTATTGCTGTTCACGCTATCAGCTGCAGGAGAAACCAATTTCCCTGCAGCTTGAGCCATGGTCTTCACGTCCATGACTCAAGAAACCCTTACAAGCTCCAACCTAAGAACCTCCTGCTAACTTGCGCACAGTGCATACTGTGGCATACATTCGTGGATGCCAACCGTGCTTTGACAGGTCTAGCAAAAGAAAGATTCGCAAGAGTGTCCTTCAGTGATTGGCAGCTCCTCTGGCCTGTTCAGTTAGGTGGTGTTCCGCCTCGTTTCGTTCCTAGATTGACTAGATATTTTTTTTAGCTTCCCTGGTGATAAGATGCTATTGGTTGAGGGAGAAGATGTCACTTCGGCAAGCATTCCACCCAACTTTGTTGAGTGAGTTTCTCAGTAATCGAATCTTCGATCAACGTCAATTGTCACAAATCCAAACCAGCTTTTCTCGCCATCTGGCAATCTGTTGACAAAAAAATAAGTTCCCCTTCTCCGCTCCGCTTCTAACTATATTTTTTTAAGCGTTGCAGTTAACGAGCTGCAATATATTTCCAAAACGACAAATATATCAGGAAAGAAAGCGTGAGTCCAAATCACCAGGGAAGCGGGAGGAATTACATCATGATTGTCTAGTGATTGACCTGGAATGGGGAGGTAAGGAAGGAATGGTTAAAATGTGATTCGAGGAGATGAGGATGAAGAGGAGGACACGGGCAGCACACGTGGTGGTTGCGATGCCTTAGAGAAAGATGCAAAAGATTCAGCTTGATCGCTGACTGAGATCGAGAGCTAAAATTCAGTGAGGACTTCATTGGTGGTTCAATCCACCAGGCTTGGCAGCTCCAACGGCTAGTCATAGCATGGCCGTCCAGATCTTCCTTGTGGCTTCCTACAGAAATCCTCCGCACCCCTACACCCACAAGTGCAGTTTTGCTTCTGTTTCTCTGGTTCAATCCTCCCTACGCGGATCTCCTTAACAAAACCACAACTATGATTAATGGGCACACAGACCAAGAGCAGTAGTACGTCGACGAAGTAACGGTAACTGTAACAAGACCGAGGTCTCCCTAACTTCCAAATTTGGCAACAACGGCATACTCATTTCTGCTTGTAGACGTGGATCAGTCACGGAAAAAGGGGGTTTTTGTGTGTGTGTGTGTGTGTGTTTCAGTAAGTATCCCACACTTGTTCACTCCGTCGATCTCCTCTGAGGCTGTTGTCAAGATTGAACAGCACCATGCGATGATACGAATTTCAGAGCCTGGTAATGAAAAGCGTGGCTACCAATCTATCCTCCTCCTCACCTCCATGACATGTTTCGATGAACTGGTCTGGTCAACACCACCGATGCCATCGCTGCGAGAAGCATCGTGGAATCTGACATGGTTGGGGAGCCAGATCATGATATGCACAGATCAAAATCTCGCATCATCATCGGCACAGAGAATAATCGTAGCACTTGGGGAGTTGGACGAGGACAGCTGTTGTTGACCACGTCGTAATTGTGCAGCACTCACTCTCCTCAACACAGCTCCATCGTTCTTCCAAAGTCGTTCTTCCAAATTCTATGCCGTTCGATGGAAGTACCACCTAGGTATCTATTTATCTTAGAGAGATTGTGAAAAGGATGTGAAGGGATTCTGTGGAGAAAAATTCAAGCAAAATTCAAGGTTTTTTTGGAGTAGAGAAGAAGTAGATATATTTTGTTCTAGTTTGTAGTAATTTAATAAAAATTGGCTATGCTACAATACTAGTTGATCTAATGATGAAGCACCTATAAGTTTGGTACTTATTAAGTATAGATTTTCTTTAAATTTGCTTAGTGACTTTGTAAACACATCAATTTGTTCTTTGCATGAAGGTTTGAAGAGAGCTTGGATCTCTTTGTTCTTGATTGTCTCTCTTGAGTAATAATAGTATGTTGAAATGTCCTTTCTTTGTTGGTGAAATACTAGATAATGACTTAGTTAATGGAGCTTTCATTATCATAGAAGATAATGATGGAGATTTTTTGTTTGATCTTAAGATTTGGCAATAATGTGTTGATTTAGACAAATAGTGATATGTATTTAGCATCTATACTCAATAGTGATAGAATTGGTTAGTGCTTTAGGTGCCAAGAGATTGAATTGTTGCCAACTTAAAAAATAAAACCTATTTTTGGCCATCTTTTTTTAGTATTTCTAACATTATCAAAATTTATATAACTTGTGACAGTTGGTTTTTCTTTTTTTACAAAGAAGTTTATTTCATCCCATGTACTATTATGATATCTCTAGGTTTGTTTGATTGCTTTCAAATCAAAGATTTGAGGCCTTTGCATGTACTTGCTATATATGCCAACAATTAGATTGATATTATAGAAAGTGTGAGTGAATTGAATAAGCTTTTCCACATGTTTCTAACATAGTGTAGGATTGACTTTATCTTCTCTTCTATCTATTATGAATTGCGAGTATTCAATCATTGGTATAATTATGTCATAGATATATATATACTATAATTATTACCTATGTAATATGAATAAATAGAAGTAGATAAAAATAGATTAATTTTATAATATCTTCTAAGAAAGCTTCTTAGAAGCTTATAGACATTTTTTTTCACTTTACATGAGTTTTTAGTTGATTGATAGATTAGAAGATTAGTCAACAAATTGCCCACATGTCTCATGTATTGATAGCTTATAAAACAGATTAACTATGTGGCATCTATATAAAAAACTTGCCTTGCAAATTAAGATATATGTCGTGCAAAGTCAACACATTTTAGAGGTCTTATAGAACGTTGCCATATAGTTCTTACGTAGATAGTATATATAGAGGCAATAATGAAGCCTTCTTCACTCTTGTCAATTATTTTTTTCTTTCTAGTCTAATTTTAAGGGTTTCTAGTTTTTTTGTCTTTTGGCAATAGTCATTCCAATTTTTTTTTAATAAACATACTTCCTTATTTCTATTTTGTCATTCTTCATTGAAAAAGTCTTACTTATTTATTTGCTTTCATCAAATTCTTGTTCTTGATAAATTAATAAGAGTACATTTATAATATCAAAGCTTTGTCTTTTCTTGATCAAGAGTAGATTACTTCTTTGTCTTGATAAGACATAAATATATTAAAAGTTTTGGATTACTTTTTTCTAATTTAATATTATTTTTAATATTTTTTTTATTCTCAACTTCATTTTTTATTACTTGTCTTAAGTAATATTAGACATCTCTTTTCTTTTAAGTATTATTATGACAAAGCTTGTTGAAATAGAGAGTACAATAGTACAAATACAAGAATAATTGACGGAACTAATGCTTGCAATGCATCAATTCAATTTACCACCACAAAGAAGAATAAGAATGATAGAAAGTGGAGATATAGAGATGATTGGAGCTACTTCAATATTAGTACCAAATCATGTCTCTTTTCTTATAATAAAATATCATTCAAGTGCTATCGAACAAAAAAATTCTTTACTTAAGAAGTTTAATAGTACAAGATTAAAGTTTCAAAGATTCATCAATAAAATATAATTGGTAATTGAACTTCAACTCCAAAGCTATCCAATTCCAAAATCACAAGTCAGATTTATTAGAACACTACTTTTTGATTCTGTGTTATTATGGTTTTCATCTATTCTTAGATAGCATGATCCAATATTGAACAATTTCAAAGCTTTTTTTTATAAAGTTTCAATCTATATATGAAAAACATGATGTAGTTCATGTTACAACAAATAAGATCCATATTTTGCAGTAAAGAAATCAATTTGTAATATTGTATGCTTCACAATTTTGACAACTTGCCATTCATATTAAGTGAGATGATGTTGCACTCATTAGCAAATTTTTTTATGGATTATAATATAAACTAAAAAAATTAATGATCAATTTACTTGATCCTCAAACATTGAGTCATGCAATTGATTTTATTATAAAGTATCATGGACATATGCATGTAAGCCAATTATTACATATATAAATAGGTAGAAGTAAGTAAAAATAGATAAAAATAAGTTAATTCTATAGTATTTAATATGAAAGCTTTCTAGAAGCTTTATAGATGCTACTTTGACTTTATATGTGTCTTTAATTAACTTTTTGGGATTAGAAATATGGTCAACAAGTTCGCCATATGCCACACATGTTCTTAGCTTGAAGACCAAGTTAACTATATAGGCCACACGTAGAAAAACTTGCCTTGTAAGTCAAGGCATGTATCCTACAAAGTCAACACATATTGGAGGTCCTATAGAACGTCGCCATGTAGCCCCTACTTAGATAGTATATATAGAGACAAGAATGAAGCCTTCTTCACTCTTATCAACTCCTTTCTTGCTTCCAGTCTAGTTTCAAGGGTCTCTAGTTTTCTTGGCTTTTGGCAATAGCCATTCCAATTTCTTTCTTAATATATATATATCAAGTTATTTCTATTTTTTCATCTTTCTATGAGAGAAGTCTCACTTGTTTATTTGACTTTATCATATTCTTGTCTTTGACAAATTGACAAGAGTACACCTATAATATAAGAGCTTTGTCTAATCTTAATTAAGAATGGATTATCCATTTTTTTTGATAAGACACAAGCATATTAGAAGTTGTGGATTACCCTCTTTTAAATTGATATTGTCTTTAGTATTTTCTTTGTTCTCAAGTCCAATTTTCTATTTGTCTTGAGCGATATTAGACATCTTCTCTTTTCTAAGTGTTATCATGGCAGAACTTGTTCAAATGAAGAATGCAATGGCACAAATGCAAGAACAATTGATGGAGTTAATGCTTGCGATGCATCAACTCAATTTACCACCACAAGGAGCAACAAGATTGGCAAGAAGTAAAGATATAGAAATGATTAGAGCTGCTTCAACATCTGCACCAAATCATGTCCCTTCTCCTATAGTAGAATGCCCTTCCATTGTTAGAGAACCAAGAATTATCCTAACTAAGAAGTTTGATGGTACCAGATCCAAGTTTCGAGGATTTATCAATCAAGTACAACTTGTGATTGAACTTCAATCCCAAAGCTATCCAACTTCAGGATCGCAAGTTAGATTCATTGGTATGCTTCTTTCAGCATTGAAGCATACCAATGAATCTAACTTTGCTGAAAACCATAATAGTACTACATTGCTCAACATTGTCTAAAGAAGCGATGTAACCATAATATGAGGAGTACGACGATCAAAAAAGATAGCATGTCAGAAAACGAATTTGTCTAGCTACAATAAGGACCATGCGGTTGGAACCTTGTACAAT